CTTTGACTGTGATGCATATCCTTACTATAATCCTGCTACTGGATTGTATCCTTTTCCTGTAATAAACTGTAGATGCATAATCATTGCCATTCTAGGCCCTGTGAGTCTTCTTTGGCAGTCAAACCCTTTTTCACTGCCTCTGTCAGTGCAATAGGCCTTAACTCTAACATTCATTTCCAAAAAGCAAAAATTTCTAACCTGTTACATGTCTCTTGGCTTCTGCCATGAAGTTAAGAGTCAATACAAACCTGTTATTAGAAGTCTGGGCCAGGCGCGGTGGCTCACGCCTATAATCTCAGCACTTTGGGAGGCCAAGGCAAGTGGATCACAAGGTCAGGAGATCGAGACCATCCTGGCTAATAAGGTGAAACCCTGTCTCTACTAAAAATACAAAAATTAGCCAGGCATGGTGGCGGGCGCCTGAAGTCCCAGCTACTCGGGAGACTGAGGGAGGAGAATAGTATGAACCTGGGAGGTGGAGCTTGCAGTGAGCTGAGACTGCACTCCAGCCTGGGCAACAGAGTGAGACTCCGTCAAGAAACAGAGAAAGAGAGAAAGAAAGAAACAAAGAAACAGAGAGAGAGAGAGAAAGAAAGAAGGAAAGAAAGGAAAGGAGGAGAGGAGAGAAGAGGAGAGGAGGAAAAGAAAAAAGAAGGAAAGAAAGAAATCTGAACGTGGCTAGGTTCTGTGGCTCACGCCTGTACTCCCAGCACTTTGGAAGGCCGAGGCAGGCAGATCACCTGAGATTGGGAGTTCGAGACCAGCCTGGCCAAAATGGTAAAACTAAAAGTACAAAAATTAGCCGGGCATGGTGGTACATGCCTGTAATGCCAGCCACGCAGGAAGCTGAGGCAGGAGAATCAGTTGAACCCAGCAGGCAGAGGCTACAGTGAGCCAAGATTGCGCCACTGCACTCTAGCCTTGGCAACAGAGCAAGACTCCATCTCAAAAAAAAACAAAAACAAAAACAAAAAAAAGAAATCTGACTAAGAGTGAGTCACCACCACCAACTTCATGAGGACAGCACATTGCCAAATATATATTGTATGAGTTGAAGGAAAACAAAAAACAAAATCACTTGTTACCTTCATGTTTTTCCAGAGCCTGTATAACATTGGGTAGTTGATTTATACCCTGATAGAGCCGGTAACAATCTTGTAAGTTTGCTGCTTGTCTTTGAAACTTCTTGGCAAGTCGGTTAAGATCTGGGAATCGACGAAGTAAATCTTCTTGTAAAGTCTGCCTCAATTCTGCATCTTCTACAAAAGCTTCCACTAAATTCAATCTGAAATAAATTAACTTGCATTAATCTAAAATATTTTAGTATAAAATTAAAATTTGTCAACTAAGCACATAAGTCTCAACTAAGTGAGCTCAAAATTCCATTTAAGAAGCTTGAATCCACCTGGCGCGGTGATTCACACCTGTAATCCCAGCACTTTGAGAGGCCGAGGCAGGCGGATCACCTGAGTTCGGGAGTTCGAGACTAGCCTGACCAACATGGAGAAACCCCGTCTGTACAAAAAATACAAAATTAGCTGGGCATGGTGGCTCATGCCTGTAATACCAGCTACTCGGGAGGCTGAGGCAGGAGAGTCACTTGAACCCGGGAGGCAGAGGTTGCGGTGCACTGAGATCACACCATTGCACTCCAGCCTGGGCAACAAGAGCAAGACTCCCTCTCAAAAAAAAAAAAAAGAAAAAAAAAGAAGCTTGAATCTAGGCTGAGTGCAGTGGCTCACACCTGTAATCCCAGCACTTTGGGAGGCCGAGGTGGGCAGATCTCAAGGTCAGGAGTTTGAGACAAGCTTGGCCAGCATGGTGAAACCCCGTCTCTACTAAAAATACAAAAAAATTAGCTGGGCATGGTGGCGCACGCCTGTAATCCAGGCTACTTGGGAGGGTGAGGCAGGAGAATTGCCTGAACCCAGGAGGCAGAGGTTGCAGTGAGCCGAGACAGCGCCCCTGTACTCCAGCCTGGGCGACAGAGCAAGACTCCACCTCAAAAAAAAAAAAAAAAAGAAAGAAAGAAAGAAAGAAGCTTGAATCTATTCTGAAACGTTAGCTTTTTTAGAAGGTGGAAAGCTCTGTAAGACTGTGAGGCAAACATTTCCTGATTAGCTAAGAGTCAAATTAATGTTTAGTTAAGCAGTATCATAAGACATTGACATATACCCAATTTTGTTTGACTTTCATCAAACAGACATGCCTTAAATAGGAGAAAGAATTTCATTACTGGGACATTGTTATGGACACACTGTTGCACATGTAAATAGTGATGTTTAATGAAACAGAACTACAGTTCAAGAATGTTGCCCAATCCAATACTTAGTGTATCCTCTTACACATTTTTAGAATGCTTTCTAAAATTACCTCTTGACGGTACAAAGCCAAAAACTGTTAATCAAAAAACTAAAATAATTTTACTGCTTCCCAAAGTCAATAACATCTCAGCTTGTTTCAAGAACGATAGAATATGCAGTTCATATTGCTTCTGTAAGTTATTGGAAATCAGTGACTTTTCATTTTTTTCAGTGTAACCACAGCAAGAAACGTCTTTATATCACAATCCAGCACATGCATATACAGATCTATCATTAAAATAGGTTTCACAAATCAATACTTATATTCCAATTATGTGATACACCCTGCTATTTTCTTTTTTTTTTTTTGAAACAGAGTCTCGTTCTGTCGCCCAGGTTGGAGTGCAGTAGCGCAATCTCGGCTCACTGCAACCTCCAGTTCCCGGGTTCAAGTGATTCTCGTGCCTCAGCCTCCTGAGTAGCTGGGACTACAGGTGTGTGCCACCACACCCGGCTAATTTTTTGTATTTTTAGTAGAGACGGGATTTCACATTAGCCAGCATGGTCTCAACCTCCTGACCTCGTGATCCACCCGCCTCGGCCTCCCAAACTGCTGGGATTACAGGCATAAGCCCACTCTGCCATTTTCTATCGTATTTAATTCTTCAAATTGCTCTTTGTCACCTAATTTAACGACCCACTACTGGGTAACACCTTGCAGTTTGAAAAACAATGTTGGAGATGTTACTAAAGTAATAGCTGAAAGGTAAATTGCTGAAGCTGAAAGGTAAACTAACAATCGAAGGTGGGAAAATGTTCCTACATATTTTGCACATCTCCAAATACAGTTTTAGAGAAACTTTTCTGGAGACCATAGGTATTACAGATGACTCAAGGTTCAGAACGCTATCAGATGAGCAATGATCTTCCTTATGTTTGTAAACAATGTGACAGTAAACTAAACCTCAAATTACACAGGTATAGAAAGGAAACAAATCTACTTTCTAAATTGAGAAGCTGGGACTACAGGTGCCTGCCACCACACCTGGCTAATTTTTTCGGATTTTTAGTAGAGATGGGGTTTCACTGTGTTAGCCAGGAAGGTCTCGATCTCCTGACCTCGTGATCCTCCTGTCTCAGCCTCCCAAAGTGCTGGGATTACAGGCGTGAGCCACCGCGCCTGGCCCTAAATTTCTTAACTATTTACTGACATCACTAGCATTTACAATTCCTGTGTTACCAAAATGTTTATCAAGCATGTTATAAGAGGAAAAACACGTTATCTCCAGAGTACACACAAAATGGCCACATATAAAAACACATTTAAAGCATAATTTCTCAATCTTGGCAACACTGCCATTTTAGGCTACATAAATATTTGTTGTAAGGGGCTGTTCCATGCTTGTTTAACAGCAACCCTGGATTCTACCCACTATACACTCTCTTCCTCAGCATGACAACCAAAAATGTCTCTAGA